TCTATCTATCTATCTATCTATCTATCTATCTATCTATCTATCTATCTATCATCTATCTAGTGAAGAGAAGGATCAGGGGAGACAGGATAGCAGTCTTCCAGTATTTGAGGGGCTGCCACAGAGAGGAAAAGGGGGTCAAGCTGTTTCTGCTATGTGAAGGCCAGACGAGGAACAATGGATGGAAACTGAACAAGCAGAGATTCAACCTAGAGATAAGGATAAATTTTCTGCCTGTGAGAGCAATGAACCCATGGAACATAAGTTGCCTTCGGAAGTTGTGGGAGCGTCATCCGTGAAAGTTTTCAAGAAGAGATTGGGCTGCCATTTTTCAGAAATGGTGTAGGATCTCCTGCTTGGGTGGGGTGGGGGGTTGGACTAGATGACCCTCAAGGTCCCTTCCAACTCAGTTAATCTGTAATCTAGCTATAAAATGTATGTGGCCATTCAACTAATGGTGAATCTAGCAGGGGAACCCCAACTAGAACAAAACCCCGTGAACTCCACTTGCCCGGGTGACAACAATCAAACCACTTGATGGGGCTCCATATCACCCCGGGATGCCCGAGGCCTGCTGGCAAAAACATCTTCAGGGTCTTTTGAAAGGAAGTCAAGATAGGGGTCAATCTTAACTCTGCAGGGATAATGTTTCATAGGGGGGGACCACCACGCTATTGCAAGACGTTTCATGACCCAACCAAGTAATATCATCAGTGCTAAAAGGGAGTGGTGTTTACGGAGAGGAGGAGGAGGAGGAGAAGAAGAAGGAGGAGAAGGAGAAGAGAAGGAAGGGAGGAGGAGCTTGGTGGTTTTCTTGAAGACGTTTCATTACCCAACTAGGGAACATCCTCAGTAATGGAAGAGAGTGGGGTTTGTGGAGAGGAGGAGGGGGAGGAGGAGGAGAAGGAGAAGAGAAGGAAAGGAGGAGGACTGTGGGGTCCTTGGTGCTCTCTAAGCTTGGTGGCTTTCTTTCAGACGTTTCATTACCCAACTAGGGAACATCCTCAGTAATAGAAGAGAGTGGGGTTTGTGGAGAGGAGGAGGAGGAGGAGGAGGAGGAGGAGGGGTCCTTGAGTGTTCTCTGAGCTTTGGTTGTTTTCTTGCAGACATTTCCTTACCATACTAGGTAACATCATCACCGCATAAATATATACAACACTAAGTAAAATGGTTACGATGGATGTTAATATAGCTGGGAAATGGGGCCCCTTAACACTCAGGATGATGTTACCTAGTTTGGCAATGAAACGTTTATCTGCAAGGAAGCAATCGAGCTCAGAGAGCACGAAAGACCTTACAAAACCCACCATCACCCAAATCTGATTTTCTCCCTGGTTACTCAGTCCTTTGCTCTCCCGTAACTTCTCATCTTGATTTGAAGTTTCCTTTCACGGATTTGGTTCCATTTCAATGACACATCCTTCCGCAAACCCCCCAAGTGGCGAAGAGCATTTTGAAATATAAGATGGTTTTATGCTCAGCCGTAGTTTTGACTGGGCCATCTGCCACGCTGCACGGAGGGATTTTTGCAGTTGTGTAAAACACAGTCCTAAACTTTCTCAAAACTGTAAGCCGTATCTGTCCACACTCCCTTTCCAGCAGCTGAACATGTCAGCAGCTGCCAACTAGGGATATTAAAAGGAGGTGGGGGTAACCCCACAATTTCACTAGGCAGAAAACATTGGCATCGATTCTTTTCAGCTGCTCACGGCGGGGAGATAGTTGTTATGGCGACACAAACAAAGACAGCCAAAGAAACCTTGAATAGCCAAAGTTGGAGGGAAGAAATGCTAAAGCGTTAACTCTTGCACGATCTGGGCTCGGTCCCACTTCGCAGGGCTGTTGTGAGGATAAAAAGCAAGAAGGGGAGGGGGTGATGGTAGCAGTCGAAAGAGTCCAAGATGTGTTAGCCAGCCAGCCAGCCAGAAAAATGGAATAAAAGTGGACTGTCACAACAGCTAACCTTGGCTTATGTTAGAAAAGATGAAATCAGTTAAGACCTGGTGTATATTTGGGTGATAAGCAAGGAGCTCACTTTGAAAAAGGTCTCCTTTCTTCCCTCTCCCTCCATCTTCCCTTCCCTTCCCTTCCCTCCCCTCCCCTCCCCCCCTCCCCTCTCCTCTCCTTTCCTTTCCTTTCCTTTCCTTTCTCCTTTTCTTTTTCTTCCTTCCTTCCTTCTCTCTCTATCTTTCCTCCTTTCCTTTTCCTTCCTTCTTCCCTTCTCCTTGCATCTTTCCTTTCCTTTCCTTTCCTTCCATCTTCCCTTCCCTTCCTCCCTTCTCCCTCCATCTTTCTTCCTTTCCTTTCCTTTCCTTTCCTTTCCTCCCTCCCTCCCTCCCTTCTCCCTCCCTCCATCTTTTTTCCTTCCCTTCCCTTCCCTTCTTTCTGAATGTGGTTTCTTATTATGATTAATACTTTCTTTAGGCTCGCTGAAGTGAGTAAAGCACCAGTGGGGTGTAATTTACGTTCTTGGCTAAATAATCAAGTTAGATATTTGCAGCTACACTATAGTATCAAATGAACAGCCTCTTTCAGTGTTTCTCTACCTTGGCAGCTTGCAGAAGTGTGGATTTCCACTTCCAGAATTCCCCATGACTGGCTGGGGAATTCTGGGAGTTGAAGTCCACACCTCTTCAAGATACCAAGGTTGAGAAATGCTGGCCTATTTCATGGATCGGTAGATCACCAATTCCAATCAGCTTCACAAATGTTGTGTAAAGTATTTTGAATACTGCTCCTCTCTCTATAACTCCTGTTGTCCTCTTACCTCTTTGAGAAGTGGCCCACAGAGGCTAAAGCCTCATTTGCAAACTTGTTTTTTTTAAAAAAAAAATACTTACAGAAATCGGAGCCATGCAGCAGTGATAGAGATCAAAGGGGACAGTCAGTTGGCAATCGGGGATAATGTTGGGAGCCATGCTGCAAGAAAGCATCAAAACCATTTAAAAGCACACCTGGCTCAGAAAACAACATATTAAGAGCTGTCAAATCTAAACCAATATCCTCCGGCCAAGAAAAAAATTCTGCATTTGACAACAATGCCTTAGGACGAAAAAACAAACAAATCGCGTTTATCTTCTTTCATTCTATCCAAATGTTTTTCTTTTCCAGAGATTTTTTTATCTCTCTCCAATTCCTCACTAAAACCAACTCACTTAAAACAGCAGCTTTAAAGTAGACGTTAGACGCCTCACATTCATGGAAAGCACAGACAATTAAAAGGAATGATTTTAGCAACCAAAAACAACCCCAAAGCCCATAAGCCAAAAAGCTTGACTGGGAACAGAGATTAAGAGCTCTAATATGTGTCATGTGGTTACGAAGATGGAGTAGCATGGAAATGTAACTGAAGCTGCTTATTCAAATGAATGCAAACAAGCAACAGATTTTTCTAACACAGGACTGCTTTTGTGGCACTGTGGTAATGTGAGAGGAAGTGTGGGTTTGAAATGTCTTTTTTTTTCCTTTTAAAATCCAGCAAAAAAAATTACGTTCCAGAGAACACAGGTTGTTAGATTAGCGGCCTGGTGAGAACAGCCCTTTGTGTGACTTTTCAACAAGAGTCGAAAGCTTGTGAGTTGACCAAGCTTGAATCTGGATAAAGTTACAGCCTTTGAAGGAAGTTTTCTGAATTTAAAAGATCATCTCTCTCTTGCTAGACCGACTTTCTGTACAATCAGGGTGGGGTGAGGTGGAAAAGTTGCCCTGCAGCTAGTTTCCTCTCAGAATATATTCAGACGAGTGGTGGGATTCATCCGGTTCACACCGGTTTGTCAGAACCGGCTGTTAACTTTCTGAGCAATTTGGTGAACTGGTTGTTGGAAGAAATCATTAGGGCAAAGAACCTTCGGTTAAAGTTTTGAATCCCACCACTGATTCTCCCACTGGGGAGATTTTTCTCAAGTATTTTAGAGATCCTTCAAAGGGGAAATATCTAAGAGTGGTAGGAGTTGACAAGGAACTCTGGTGCACCAGCGTGTGCAATCATGTTAGTGTCTTCTGAAGGATATTTTTGGAGGCAAGGTCACAAAAGCTCAAAATGTAGGATCCATCAACCATTCAGAAGGATCGTACAGGTAATCCTCAACTTTTGACCATAATGGACCCCAGAATTTCTGTTGCTAAGCGAGAGATATCTGTTAAGTGAGGTTTGTCTCATTTTATGACCCTTCTTGCCACCGTTGTTAAGTGAAGGCTTTTAAAATTCTCTCTGGCCCGAAAGGATCCAAGGGCTGGACTGAATGAGAAGAATCAAATCCAGGACCTGAAGTTCCTTCACCCAGAACTTTCTTCCTACAGTTCAGTGGTTTGACGCAGGAGCGAGGCAAGTTACACATGAAAGAATCCTGGCATTTGTGTACAATCTGGAGAGGCCCATGGGATGATGAATGGAACATGGGGTGGGGAGAAGGTGTCACATGTGACCATGTGAGGATCATTGCAAATGCAGTTCAGAATGTTGGCAACAGCCAAAAATAATGACCAGTGCATTGAACACACTGAGGGATGGCATTGGGTTCTACTGCGCAACTTATATATCAGGATGGAATGAGATGGATGGGATTGTCCAACCATTGACTGGAAGTCAAGACAAGAAACAACAGATTTAAATGATGAGGAAGAAGGTTGGGTTGGACACCAGGAAAAATTCTTAACAGAGTCATTCAATGACAGAACTAATAGCCTTGAGATATTGTGAGAATTTAAACCAGGGGTCTTCAAACTTGACCACTTTAAGACTTGTGGACTTCAACTCCCAGAATTCCTCCTCCAGTCATGTTAGTTCAGGAATTCTGGGAGTTGAAGTCCACAAGTCTTAAACTTGCCAAGTTTGAAGACCCTTGATTTAAACAGAGGTAGAATAGTAATCTACGGGGAGTGTTCTAAGAATGGATTTCTGTAAAAGGTGTTGGGTTACATCAATATTTCTCAACGTTGCAGCAATGTTGAGCTCTGGGGACTTCAATCCCCAGAATTCTCCTGGGGATTGGCTGGAGAATTCTGGGGACTGAAGTCCACTGATCTCAATATCGAAGTTGAGAAACATCAGAGTAGCTGATCCTCAGAATAACTCCCGACATTTGCATTCTAGAATTCTGTGATAAATGTACTAATAGCAGTGGAGGCAAACCAACAAAAAAACAGGAAAGCATCAAAGCTTCTTCTGTGTTTTGCACCCCTCTGAGTTGAAGCTGGGAAAGCAAAGAATGTTTCAATTCAGTCTTGGCTGCTTATGTGCCATTAATCCTACTTCGGGGCAGAATTAGTGAGTTATGTTAGAAATGAGGATATTTAATGAGGATATTTAATCCAAGGGCTAACTGCTGAACTAATTATGGATAGAGTCAAGTCCCACTCTCCCCCCATCGTAAATGTATGGATTTCTTTGAAAAGCTCACACACAGGATTAATCACGAAATATCTGTAGCTTGATTTCCATAAATACGTGATATATTTTCCTAATCGGTTGGAGGTTAATATTCCTAAGCCCAGAATGATTTTTTAAAAGAATATTTGGGACATTCACAAATACTTTGCTGAGAGGAAGTTTTAGCAACAACCTTAAGTTCCAGATAGTTAAAGCGATGCAAGGATGAAACCTAAGAAATAAGTAGCATTTATACTCACTCGTTGGCGTTTCCTATTGGTTCATATATGTACCAATTATCTTCATCAGCCAAGTTGCCAGTGAGGTCCAGTTCATCTCTTAGTAGCTCTTGGGAAGACATCTCTCTCTCTCTTTTCTTTAATTTCTCAGGCAATCAAATCTAAAGAATATCTTTAAAAAGAAAACAAGATCTTTTTTGAGCTAGAGATCCAAATCCTTCACAAAATTTGTCCTGTAGCTGATATACTTTGGTGGTCAATTTTTTTAAAAAAACCTGACCAGCTTCTTAGATCTTTCATACAAGCAACTCTGTTTCCTTCTGTCATTTAAGCTGCTTTCCATGCTTCTATTTTTTTTTTTAAATCCCACAGAAGTTTATCCAAAGTGACTTCATCCTGTTTCAGCATTTCAGGAGAACAAAGGAGGAACCGAGGTTGGAGGTTAACAAGAAAAGAAAAGGGGAAAAAAAATACTTCAAACCACACTCTACCCAAACCAAACTAAGAATCATCAGTTATGAAAAGCCCACGACAAGATTAAAGAAAGTAAAGAGTTGTTTAACTTGATTTCTCTCCAAGAACTCAGCCTAAGGAAATGAAAAGCATTTGGAAAATGGTTTTTGCTCCTTTACACCTATTTGAATGGATGCTCTCTCTCTCTCTCTCTTTTTCTTTTTGCAAAAAAATCCAAGGGAAATATGACTTAGAAATTGTGGAAAGGGAACTTCACGAGGACAGTGGTGTCACCCAAGCAGGAAAAGCCCAAAGGGAACATCAGGCCAGCCATAAAACAAACTTGCATAGGAAAAGGAATCGAATAAAAGGTATTAAAGAAGCCCCTTAGACAAAAGCCCAAATAATTAAGAAAACTAGGGAAACAAGAAAAGAAAACATGCCAAATCAGCAAAACAAACAGACGAAAGACACAAAATATATTAGGAGACAGACAGGAGATTGCCACAAAACAAATATAAGAAAACATTAGGACGAAACTGATAATCCAATCAAACCACCCCGCGGAGTTTACCCTCCGGCAGAAATGAAGACAACCCCTGACAGGATTTAAAACATTAAGAAATACAAACACAAGCACTCACACACAAAAGGAGAAAAAAAGTATAAAAATCAGGGGCTTATCATACAACGCTAACTAGCCCCAGGAACGCAGACTTCTTGCTATCTCTAGCCTTCCTGAAAAATAAAAAATATCCAGCTTTCAAGCAGTTGTCTGTATCCTTGCACCGGAGCTCTCCCAGCAGGAAAATCAAATCCTCAGAAGAAAGGCATTTTCCAGGCCTTTCAACAATTGGTGACCATGAAGGTTTTCCAGCCAACCCTGCCACTAGACCGGGCCCGCGGATCCAAACCCAGCCGGCATGGACCTTCTTTGTCCAGGGACAACAGCCACGGACCCAGCCCGGAAGGAATAAGGGTAGTAAAGGGAGTCCTTGGGCTTTTCTGCTCAACAGCTGCAGGTGAGCACCACTTCAAATTTATAATCTTACTAGGGAGGGGAGTGCAAGCATAAGTGTACCAGGTGTGTGATTGTGGGTTTGTGGGTTTTCTCTGCAGAAACAGAGGGACCTCACCTCCTCCATGATTGCCAGCCGCACCCCAGCCAGCTGCTAGCTCCAACAAGCCATGACCAGCTGGATTTGGGAACGCGAGGGGTGATCACGGAGTGTGAGACCTTCTGAAAGATGTAAGAAAAACCAAGTGGGCTGAGAAAGGAACTGGTGTTGGGAAACAAATAGGAAGCAGAAAAAATAGTCCCAGTGCATCCCACAAGCAAAGCCCTGTGCAGTTAGAAGGGGCCCGTACCGGCTGCTGGCAAACAAAATTGGAAATAGTTTGCCTTACAAAGCAGAGCAGGTCCTTCCAGATCCCTACCTTTAAGGGAGATCTGAAAACTGACGGCGGAGTGTGAGGAGGGGCCCATACCGGTGCTGCTAGGGGGCAGACGGTCCTCCAAGATCCCCATTTTTTAGGGGGGTCTTCAAACTGACGGCGGAGTTTCCCTAAGAGAAAGGGCCCATACTCCATGTGTAAAACTGACAGCGGTAGCCCGGCTAAACCAAAGTAATCCCCACATCAGGTAGAGAATATGGGAAGTTGTAGCTCGAGGGCAATGGAAGAGACCCCCTTGGATAAATTACTTGAGGCTTGGGACGAAAGGCAAGTGCCTGTCCTAACTGGAATGAATAAAAAGGAAGCGAAAAGAATTTGCAAAAAGTGGGCTTTATTGCGAGATGACACGGGTAGACAAATTTGGCCTGATAGCGGTACTTTAGATTATAAAACCCTGAAAGCACTTAGAACATGCATTAAGCCCAGCCAAATACCCTATTGGTACTGCTGGGCTGAGATGGCTAGGACCAAAGACCTGACCGAGAAAATAATAATAATAATAATAATAATAAT